GATTGATTGATTGATTGATTGATTGATTGATTGATTGATTGATTGATTGATTGATTGATTGATTGATTGATTGATTTAAGCAGATCCTTCTTTGTGTTACACACACGCACTCAAATGTGGATCACTTATTAGCATCAGCACACACAAAAACAGCCCGGAGCTGACCTTGTCTTATTAGAACAAACCAGATAAAAATGACCTACTTGATGCATTATAATGTGATTAAACACACTTGGACTAACTATTATAATGAACGCGACATCCCAAAACACCGCTGTCGGCTACTAACCGGGCTCCACTGAGGGCAGCGACACTCCACGCACGCGCAGCAGGTGAGTGGCGACTTTGGCGCGCGCATAACTGCTCATTAACAAACATAAACCCGARRAAAAAAARGGTAAAGGAGGAAAACGTCGACGTCTTCTCTGCCTCCTGCTGTCAGAGGTTGGCGCTCAGCTCATTCAGCCGAAATAATAGTTTCCTTCCCGGCGACCCTTCGCTCAGCCGACTAAAACAACTTGTTCTGGTAAGCTTCGTGTTTGTTATGAATCCATTAAACTGACCGTGAAAGTGTTGAAAACCGTCTCTTTGACCCTTTAAGAGGGGAAAAAACCTTCCAAAATTCGAGAAAGCGAAGGATAAAGTAAAATAAATAAATAAGACTGGCTGTGGGGTGGAAATATTGTGGCGTCGGGTCGGGGAAACTAACCCAAGCCGAGGCATTAGAGGGAAGGATGGAGCTTACCGTGTTCGTGGAGGAGCTGCTGCGAGGCTGGACCGAGTCGAGCCGTGGAGAGAGGATGTTGAGGTTCACGCGAGCTCCTCGTGAGGTCTGTCCACTTAGCCCAGTCTCTCTCCTCTCTTCGTCTCTCTCTCTCCCTCCCTCCCTCCGAGCGCCCCCACATATCTGCCTCTTCCCCCATCTCTCTCCATTAGTTTGAAAATATCACAGAAATAAGGCAACACTTTCTCCAAAAAGCCTTCTATTTTTGACATAGTGCAGTATGGGACCAGTGAGTCACACGCGCGCGCGCACACATTATGTCTCTCTATCCTTGTTGGGACTTTCCATTGACTTCCATTCATTTTTTTGAAATTGTACATCCTAACCCTGACCACAAACCATAAGGCTGACCTCACAGGTACCAACCTGACCCTAAAACTAACCTAAACTCAATTCACACCTTGGTCCTTAACCCAACCCCCACGTTTTCTCATGTACCTCTATTGTTTAGCTGATTAAAGCCTTGTTAAAGCCTATTTGTTCGAGTTTCTGAGGTATTTTGACCGCTGCTGCTCCCTGCTCTGGTGACAGCATGCAGAGTGAGCGCAGAGCAGAGGAGGGGGATGGGAAAAAAAGAAGCTGCGACCACGACTCTGCCTCAGGGTATCTCATATGGTTGTACAACGGAACTTCTGCTATTATTAGC